GCCATCTCTTAGTTAAACCGGAAAAAACTTATGCATATACCTGGTATATATTATTACTTTCCGAGGTATCCTGGAATTCCCTTTTCCTCCTGTTTTTTTTATCGCTCTTCTTTTTTACTCTCGCTTCCCTATACTCATCTTTCATCCCGTTAGTCGCTTGTTGATATCGTACCGGGGCCGGTACCGGGTCGACAGGTGACCACCGGGATAAAAAAAGAGTGTCGGGATTTCTGCTACAAAATCAATTATAATGTTAGTTTGTAGTCCCGACCGTATCAATGTTATATTTCGTTTCGTTAAAATAATTCTCACCTTTTCCTTATCTCTTTTAGAATTTATTAAATTCGTTTAAATTATATCCGGCAGTCACTGCTGCCGAATAGCGGAAATATTTTTACACAGACTGACCACCAAATTTTAAGCAAAATAATAATCTTTTCATGGATCAGACTTGAAGGCTCCGTGACTTATCAGCGCGCGAAAGCCTAATCCCCGTGTCACTTTACCATTCATAGAAAACCTCATAACTCCCCTCATTTCTCTTACGGTATTAAATTTTAAAATTAATCTGATAACTCCGCGCCTTCTGACCTTATTTTCCCACCGATCATGCTAGGTGTATAAAATGGGTTATGTTATGCGATTTTTTGACATCATATGCGATTTAAATAAACTAAATTTTTCCGCTCAAGTTTGTAAGCACTTTTAAACGAGAAGAGAAGAGAAGTATGTTTTTTATTTGTTTTATTAATCCTCTTGATATAATTTATGCGCTTAAAAAGTCGATTACATCTATGTTTGACTTTTTTCCAGCTCAAAATAGACTATGATATTGATGGTCTCAGAAAATAAAGTTCTCACAGAAAAGTTAACTTTTATGGTGGTTTAATAATAGGGAAAAGAATGAACTTCACAATAAAAGATGTTTGATTACGCTGCGTTCAATTATTTTTTAGATATCAATATTTGTATAAGAAGAAAATCATCCATATAAGCAGCTACTTACGTATTATACTTTCGAGAAGTTTGAACACATTAGTCAAGCGTCTTCGGGTGGGTCGCGGACAGCAAAGTGTTATAGTTAGGTATATATAATGAAGTTTATATAAGACGGCGTGTTGCATGCATAGCCGTCAACTGTATTTGAATAATATGGTACCAATTGACTAAAGTTTTCTCGAATAGCAATTTTGCTGCCATATCTATCATGTGTTACTTACTAGAATGCTATATTTTTTGGTGCACTTTATTTTGTAGTTCCCATTTTTATATTAACAAGTATAGACACGTGCGCACGCTATTTAGCTAATTATTATTTGAAAAAATCTCACTTCGTATAATTAAATAGATATTAATCTAAAATTTTGTATCAGACAAAAAATTTATTTTTCATTTTTTTGTCTTTCTTAATATTTTAATTTCTTATCTTCCTTAACACGCAAATTAATGAACTATTGATATTCACGTCATGATTTGTCAGATATAAACGAGACGTGTGAAATAAATCGCGACGTGACAATATGGGAGAAATATGAGACCATATGAGAGAAGGCATTCTAAAAAAGCGATATAATAATGATTTAAATAATTTTGAATATCAAAATTTTATGTCGTTTTTGGAAAGGATAATTATATGGAACAATTTCATGCAATTTAATAAAACCCGGAAATTCGTATTTCATAGGACTGTCTCGGAATTTGGTTTTTTGAATTGTGATTTTTCCAAAACTTTTTTCTTTTTTGGAATTTTGATAAGATTTTATTATATATAAGAATAATATAAACCCATCAAAATCTAAATCGTATCGCGACCGTCTTGATACAATGACGTACCATATTTAATTGAAAATCAAATCGCAAAGTAAAATTTATTCATTGACCATTTTGCAGTCTTTAATTGTCTTTAAAATGTGGTTCGCCTTTTCCACCGACATAAACTCCCAACGTGAGTTTCATGTTTTCGATGAACGCCTTCTCCATTTATTTATAATTCTTAGCTATCTGTGATAGATAAGATAAGAAATAATTAGTTACTTTCTTGTTTATTGGAATTAATAACGTAACGTTATCTTCGTATAAATAAATTAAATATATATTTAATACAGCTGAGTTTTTCCAAGACATAAAATTGCAACTATTTCATGTTTGGTAGCAGAAATTGTGTGGATAAGTTTACGGTAAGACTTGACGGAGCCCTATAAGCTACAGATCTTATTATTATGTGGTTAGAAAGAAACTTTCTCTTTTTTTATTATATTATTATTATTAATATTTAAGTACAGATCTAACTTTTGTCATTGTGCGAATAGCTTTAAAAGTGCATATGCATAATTGCGAAAGGAAACGTTAAGAAATGTGAGAAGAGGCACAATTTCCCGAAAAATCATAATGGCCCGAAAGTTAAGTACCGCGATAATTTATTGAAATACAATTTTTTCAAAACATTGAAAGCATGCCATTTTTCCGAAAAGTTATAATTCCAAAAACTTAAGGTTTCGGTTAATTTTAAAGAGTATTCTTCGCTCAAAAATATTTGTGGTATTTTCTTAATGGCGTGGTATATTCTTAAGCTGATATTGTGGTATACCCTCAAGCCTATACATATTCTTAAGCCTATAAACTTTCGAAAAATACCAAAAAAAAGTCAGTTTTTTGAATCTTTAAAACTTTAAGACTTTAAGAAAACTTTCCTAAAACGAGTCGTAAATAATGTTATCATATATATATATATATATATATATATTTAATAATATGTTTATTGTCCCTTTACATAAAAATGTTATTTTAGTCTTGCAGAATGTTTCTTTAGAAGAACCGCTTAAACAAATTTTATTATCAATTTTAGATTTGCATACATTTCAACACAAAACGTAATGTGTTATACAGAAGTAAAGTTATGCAGAGAAATGCGAAGAAAATTATATGAGCGTTATACTGGAGGAAATTCTGCAAATCCTTTTTACTTTAGCTTATCGAAGCTGGACACTAACGGAAGATGGCATGTGGCAATTTTTATTGTCTGCTCCCGACCGGTGGTTCCACTTTGATCCGCTGTAATCGAAATTGAATTTAGTAATTTCAAATATTATTTTTCAAGAGGCAACAAAATTCATTACCATCGTCGAAACATTTGTTAAGCGTCTCTCGCGCCTTTTTCACTGTGCTCGGATCGGAGATAGCATCTTCCATAGATTGCACGACTGCATCTCTTATGTATTCACCATTATCGTCAAGAAGCTGGAATAAATTATATCGCGATTTAATATATGTCGTATGTGAAGAACATAAATAGAAGAATATTAATTTCTATTTCCCGTTAATCGTTAAAATGTAATTTATAAGTAACTAATAAACTAATAATAACTAATAAAAAGCAATAATTGCTTTCAATATATTATTGTGTTATATGTAAAATAGTTTTTTCATAATTTTCTCTTTTTTCATAGTTTTTTTTCATAGTTACCTTTTGTTACGTATAATTTATTAATACACTTAAGGCTCTTTTGTCAATTGTGTACATTAAATATAAAAATTAATATACCTTGCCATCCCTGTCCAATGCGCATACAAGTGCTTCGGCAGATAGTGAGGCTGTAAAGCACGAATAATAAATGTGATTGCTGAATTACGAGTTTTCGAATTTCGTTTGGATATTGTAATAATGTTGTTTTCTTTATCATAATCGCGAAATTCTTGAACGTAGCTTCCAAACAAACACAAATGATTATATGCGATACGGAAAAATGATTTATTCTAGGAAAATTAAGAAACATCTCGAATTATAATTTAGGTCTCTTCTAAATGTTCTATATATCTAAAGATATTTTTGCGACGTCTTATAACGTCTTAATGTTATATGATTTCATTAATGAAATTATTGTTATAAGTGAGTTATCATTATTGTTTTAAATGAAACCTATTTTCTTTTTTGTGTCATGTTTCTTTTGATGTTCTGAATTTTAATACTCACTCGTAGATGCACCTAATTTTTCACTACATTTCATTAAATTTTCATTAAACTTTCGAAGTCGCACAGGGTCTAGACTGTAAGCCATCATCTGGAAGGATTGATCATATCCAAGTATATAGAAATTATTTGAATTAATAATCAAGTGCAATCGCGATATCTATCAGCTAGAAACGAATGTTTTATCTGCAAGATGTAGCAAGTTTCACAATAATTATTATTTGTTTCCAACAAAAAACATTTTATTATTAAATGTGGTTAGAAAAAGTTTCTCTCCTACTACATTATTATTTTATATTAGGTGGTAAACTTAGTTCCTGCGGCTCACAGTTAGATGACGTTAGTTGTAGGTGTAATTTATTTTGACATCTGAAACTGGCTGCATTTTAGAGGTTAGACATTTGTCAATAAAATTCAGTGCGAAGAGATTCATTTAAGCGAGCAGTGCTATTTTTTCTTTTGATTAAATATGGAACGCGATAAGTTGTTTTTTCGACATGTGCTGCTTCATTACTTTGACTTGAAAAAAACTGCAGCTGCAGCTCATAAATTGCTTTTCGAAGCTTATGGCAATTATGCTCCATCGGAAAGAACATGCCAAGTATGGTTTCAGCGATTTAAGATTGGTGATTTTGATGTCAATGATAAAGAACGCTCAGGCCAACCGAAAAAGTTTGAAGACACCGATTTGCAGGCATTATTGGACGAAAACTCTACTCAAACGCTCCAAGAATTGTCTGCAGCATTAAATGTTACTCCGATGGCTGTTTCCAAACGTCTACATGCAATGGGAAAAATTCAAAAGGAGGGAAAATGGGTACCACACGAACTAACCGCAAATGCCATTGCGAATCGCTTAAACATCTCTATTTCTCTGCTCGCCAGGCAGAAAAAAAGAGTTTTTTGTGGCGCATAGTGACTGGCGATGAAAAATGGATATACTTCGATAATCCTAAACGAAGAAAATCATGGGTAGACCCTGGCCAACCATCGACATCCACACCAAAGAGAAATATTCATGGCCACAAAGCAATGCTTTGCATTTGGTGGGATATGCACGGCGTCGTTTATTATGAGCTATTGAGACCGAACGAAAGTATCACGGGGGATCGATATCAATCACAATTAAACTGTCTGAATGAAGCATTGTTGGAAAAAAGGCCAGCAGTAGCCAGCAATCGACGTAAAGTCATGCTTTTGCACGACAACGCTCAATCACACGTTGCCAAAGCCGTCAAAGAAACACTGATGCAGCTTGAGTGGGAAGTTTTCCCGCACTCAGCGTATTCACCAGACTTAGCTCCTTCGGACTATTATTTGTTCCGGTCGATGCAGCACGGCTTGGTGGATACACACTTCAGAAATTACGAGGATATGCAAAAATGGATCGACGAATGGATTGCATCAAAAGACCAATCGTTCTATCGTCGCGGAATCTACGCGTTGCCCGAAAGATGGGAAAAATGTATAGCTAGCGAAGGAAAATACTTCGATTAATGTATTTTTTGCTTTTGATGTCGAAATAAATGAGTTTTTAAAACAAAAAAACCGCAGGAACTAAGTTTACCACCTAATACATACATAACATTTGTCGTTTTGCGTGTAATATCAAAAAAGGTTATTTTTATCTAAGGATCAGAACTATTTCTCTATGTCATTTTAATTTTCAAGCTGCGGACATATATCTATAAATAAAACAAGATGGATGTAAAATTGATTGATAATAGTTTAGAAATAATTTTTTTTACTTGGTATCTGCACACTTTGAGAAAAGTATAATATGAATACATTGGCTATGGATAAAATTTTGCTCATGGTTGCTAGAATCTTGAACATATATTCGGAGAACAAGAAATCTCGTTTATATAACTGAAGCATACTTGTATAAAAATGAGATTTCTTATTTTCTAATGTATCGCCAATGTGTTAATACATGTGTCACTTGAAGTGTTGCTTTTTGAATATTGTTGCATAAAATGTTGAAATTTAAATATATTTCAAATGCAAAACACGTGTAATACAGTTTAAATCATGTACTCATTGATACAAAATACTTCGTGGAGTCATAATGAAATTTATTCGTTGTTTGGTACTTACTGTAACGGCCAATATGCACATGATCTGATAACTAATCGTCAAAATCTTCATTTTAAGTTCTTCAGAAATGTCTCAAGAAATATTAAACGTGGCGTAAGTGCGTTTAATTTTATACTGTCTTGCAACGAAACTGCTGTTCGTATTTATAGGCAAGTCATAGTGATAGTATTACATTGTGTTTTTTGTAATAGTAGTAGTTGTTTGTCATGTTCTGTCTGATTTACGTCACTGCAAGGTAACTGCGGGATAATTAAACTTAAGAACATGAATATCTGCTTCATTTGATCATTTAATATTGTATGGTATTATTTTTATTCCTAGAACGCTACACATTTTGTTTATTAAGTATGGTGGACACTCATCTTTTAATAATTATATATCTATATCTATATATACTGCAAACGTGATAGGAGCTGTTAAATGTTTTAATTTAAAATATGAATTATCGACGTTTTATCGATAATTACAAGGAAAATTTCATTTATTATCGACTTAGAGAGACGGCGAGATTTGCGTGGGATTGGAATGTATGTGGAATGTATGTGGGACACTATCGCATTTTATGTTCGCGCCTTGCGTGTAGTATCTTCGGGTCATCGATTCTCTAAAAATAATTTATGCAAATCACGATGACACACGTGCTATTCAGCCCGTAAATCTCTTTTGCTAGCCCCGAGTTTTGGCAATAATAGCGCCACAACGAGAAAAGGAGAGAGAGAGAGAGAGAGAGAGAGAGAGAGAGAGAGAGAGAGAGAGAGAGAGAAGAAATCTACGCTGCAATCCTGAGCGCATCATCCCGCGCGATTTAATTTGCAGCTCGTCGAAAGTAACATCGTGATGCAGCCCAAACAGCTCGTTATTTAGCACAAGCAGTGTGCCTGAATGCAGGAAGAGTAACGATTATCTCGCGTTAAACGAACTGTCCCGTCGGTGGAAGTCGTAAAAAATTGCAAACCTGTTGTCGGACACCATTAATGCGAAGGATAAACCGGTGCAACCACGATCTATTTAAAAACATTATGACCGCGCGCTGTGTTGCGCCGCTGCGTACATTCTACTTTATCATGCGAATTTTTTGCATAGATTTCAAGCAGCGAACGAGCAACAGCACGAGAACAACGTCATATTATTTCATATGTAAGTTTCCAGTCCAAAAATTTTCCATTCACCAGAGACAAACAAGCGTCACTCGTTGAACAAAAATTTAAAAATTCTCTCCCGAGATACCTTTTGTTGAAAAACATCGACTTCAGGTGTCACCAGCCGTAGAATTTGTAGCAAAGAGAGGGAATTGGCGTGACATTGTGTGCATCGTGTATTTAATGCGCAACGGAATATCTCGGATAATTAAAATAAGTGCTACATATGCATTCCTACAAATAATATCTGGATTTTTTCTACGCGAACAATTTTTCTACGTCTCGACGGACGCATGTATCGTGCGACACCTTTGGCGAGCCTGCTGCATGACGAGCCGATACAACATTGCTTGGCGGTGACAAATGTTATCGTGAGATTCTCCAGATCAAAGATCATCTTAAAACGTCTTCAAATCCTCGGTATGATTTGCACTTTAATTAGGAAATTGAAATATTTATTTAATTAAAGACATAATTTTTGTATAGCTTGATCTATTCTTTTGTTCTATATATCTATTGAATATTAAATCTATCTTTACCCTCTCTACCCAAGCAGCATGTAAACGTTCGAGGAAAGTTCGCTTTATGTTCACTTGGTTTGCTTATATTCAAACAAATTGAGAACGTTCGAAGAACATACGTTTTAGAACCTTTAACCCATTTTCATCTATAAGCGGAATATTCCGCGCATGAAGATTGTCTCTTATCACCGAGAGCGGAATATTCTGCGAGCCTCGACTTTCTTCTATCACCGCTCGCGGAATATTCCGCATGACACAGTTCACGTTTTGTTGTCACTCTATGAACAATTGAGCTATTTTCATTGCATTATTAACAAATTTATGTTAAATAAACTCTACGAACTATTTGGAAATCATTTACTGTAGAAGTTTACTGGGTACAGTAAAACTAATGTACTCTAGAAGTTAACGAAAACAATAAAACTGCCGATATACGGCCGCGATACGGGCCAACCATTAGTTGTTCGCCACTGATGTCTGAACACAGAAACTTAAGTAGAGTCATTATGCAAATGGATTAATATATATCTTATGTAGCAACAGTGTCACAGCATCACAATTATGCTGTTTTGTTACAATTCCATTTTTCAATTAAAATATATACATCTTGAACATTGATTATGTCTCTTTATAACAAATTATTAAAAAATATATTAATTGATAAAATATATTAATATATGCATAAATATAGACGTAATCAAATTTCAAGATGTATATATTTTAATTAAAAAATGGAATTGTAACAGAGCAGCGTAATTGTGATACTGTGACATTTTTGCTACGTAAAATATATATTAAAGGATCTAAAACGTATGTTCTTCTATCGTTCCCACTTTGTTTGAATATAACCAAACCAAGTGAATATAAAGCGAACGTTCCTCGAACGTTTACGTGCTGTTTGTGACGACTATTTATATTCTCTCTTCTGCTGCTCTCGCAAGTCACGCAATTGAAAGCGCTCGATCTCAGAGCCGTTGACATCATAATACTGGGTGAGTGTAAAAGTTTAAAAAATTTGATATATAAAATCGTTTCATTAATCAATTATGTAATTACCGTCATTTTTTATAATCTTTTCCAAACATTCTGGTAGCATATGAATACTTTGATAAAACGACTTCGGTTTTACGTTGAAGAGGGAAGAAAGATGGTTTTCGGTGGTTTCTAAAAATGCAAATATTTCCCATTCAAATCGTTTTGTGATGATCGAAACAAGTGATAATGTGTTGATGTGATATCAGGAGAATATACTTGTAATATCGAAGTGAGAATATACCAAATATATTTGAAAATTCAGCAGAACATTGTTACTTTTACAGTCAAGTTACTGATATACAAAATTTTTATATCTCAGAAACGATTGAGTCTTCGACCTATGTTTTCTAAGACTTCTGTACACAGCATAGGGTGTACCATCTACCGTACGAACGATAAATGCCTTTTTTATAACAATAACAATACGCGAATAACTATACCTTTCTCATGTTTCAGTGTGATGTAATCTGTGCTAAAGACATCAGCGATTACAATACATCTAACATGGCCAATTGTGGGAAAAGCAACGTCACGATTCGGCCAACGCCAATACAAACGTTCTATGCGAGCCAGTCAATCTTTATTACAAGTATTTACTGCGTCTGAATGCAACGCGATCATATGTGATACGATGAGCAATAACTTGTGTATCATTGATATATAAAATAATATGTATTAAATCAGGAGTTTCCTTGGGAACGGGTTTCCTTGGGAAGATTTTGATCGAAAAATTGCTGCGAAGTTGTCCTGACGTCTCTAAGATATACCTAATGGTGTGTTCAAAAAAAAACAAAAGCGCTGCGACTCGGTTGGACGAAATATTTGAAACTCCCGTAAGCATGAATANTGGACGAGATATTTGAAAGTCCCGTAAGCATGAATAATACATAATGATATTTTACAAAATTGTCATAAGTTATTTTTACGTGACGGTATGACGGAACCATAACTATTCAGTCGAGTGAATAAAGAGACGCCCAACTTTTATGAAATAATTGTGCCACTGATCGGCGAATTGTACAAAGTAAACTTGGGATTCATGAAAGGTGACACGGATTTACTAAGGCACAAGGTAAGGAATCTAATCGTGAAATTCCAAAAAAACTTTACAACAAGGTAAGGAATCTAATCGTGAAATTCCAACAAAAAATTTCTCGTACAAAAAGTACGATCCATAATCCATATCCAAAGTACGATCCATAATCCATATCCAATAAACACCAACGAACAGTAACGTAACATCAATGTTATAATTGATCACTCAATAATGTAAATATAATGCGCGTTATGTAACAGTTACATTGTTAAGTTGGAAATTATTGGTAAATATATATTGTTACGCCCGTGTCTTGATGCCCATGCTTTTAGCGCCCTGAACATACAGCTGATTCTCTTGGCAACAAGTCGTAAACAACAGATGATCAGCGTTGACGGATAAACAACGGGTTAGAGAGATTCTCTCTGGGGCGGTTGAGTCGTCGTGACGTGCGTGACGGTCTTTAACGAAAGAGAGAGCTTGAGCCTGCGAGTTACGTGTGTTTCCTTGTAAATAGTAAATATAGTTGAAGTTGTTTTCTTTTTAACGTTGTCTCGTTTTATTTCCCCTCGCGAGAGTAACATTTTGGGGGTTCGTCCGGGATTAAAAAAAAAAAACATCCGGAATTTGTAAGACAAAGCCGTCGGAAAACGATCGTCCAAGATCCGCGAGACGGAAAATTTGAGATACCCGACCGCGTGTGAAAAGTGAAGGGTGAGAATTAAGTGGAATGGCAACGGTACATTCTCCGATGAGAACACGGAGTCAAGCGGCGGTGTTAGCGTCAAATGAGGGAGCGTCGCGTGCTACAAAGCGGGAGGATACGAACCTTCGAACTTTGTTGTGCGAACTAAAAGAGATGCGGGAGGAACAGGCACGCTTACGCGGAGAGTTTAACGAGGTGCTCCAGTGTTGCGACGAGGGATGCCAACAACGACGAGAAGTCCAGCTAAGTTCTTCCAATAATAATTTTTGTCGGGTCGCGGAACCGAACGTAGTTGTTACGGGACCAAGCGTCGCTGTTGCGAGTACGAGTATTGGCAGGGAGGTTGATTCACACGTCGAGTTGGGTTTTAAATTAAAATTAGATACTTACGACGGTACGAGTTCTTTCAGGGAATATTTTTCGCAATTTGATTTGATCGCGCGCGCGAATTCTTGGAATGAGGCGTCAAAAACTGTAGCGCTTGCTTCGTGTTTTAGGGGAAGGGTGCGTTCAATGTTAGAAGCAGTTGAAAATGTGGAAAATTTGACTCTTGATGAATTAAAGTTTAAATTAGATTTGCGTTTCGGGGAGGGAACATCACAAAATTTGTATATGTTATTTACAAATCGGAGACAGAAATTTGGTGAAGACTTCGCTTCCTTCAAAATGGAACTTGAAAGGTTAGCACGTTTGGCCTACCCTGAATGTCCCTTTCCGGTTCAAGACAAAATTTCTTGCGCCCAATTTGTTTCGGCGATTTCGGACAGATTTGTTAGGAGAACATTACAATTGGAGGGAGTAACTTCTCTGGTTTCAGCGATTGAGAAGGCTAAGGCAGTTAAAGTTATTTAGGAAGAGAATTTTGGGAAAAGGAGGGAAAGGAATTTTTACGATAATGTCAGACAATTTTCTTCCAGTCAGAGGAATTTTATTAACAAAAATTTTGAAATAAGAAGACCGGAAGTAAGTAGTGGGAGAAATTTAAAGCCAAATTTGAATTTGAGAAAATCGGGGAATTCAGTAAAGGATGTGTTGGCAATGTGGAAAATCAGGACATTTTAGGGCGGAATGTCCGGCATTAGGGTTGGAGGGTCAGTAAAACTAGGTTTTGGCGAATGGAACGGGGACAGTTCGGCAAAAAGGGAAGAGTCCCCTGTTTATTATAAGTTAAATCGTGTTTTTAGTAATGCTTTCTGCTTTAAAGGAAAGCTTGGTGATAAGCTTTGTAATTTTAAGATTGATACGGGCTCAGACGTTTCTATTGTTAGTAGTAAATTTGTGGAAACTTCAAAAGAAGTTTTTCCAATTGGAAATCGTCGTTTAATTTTTCCAACTGGAGAAATGGTTCCGGTACAGTTCGTAACAAATATGAGAGTAAGCCTGGGAAAGTGTTCTATAGATTTGTTTTTATTTATTGTTGATATGAAAGAGGATTGTCTTTTGAGAGGAGATTTCTTGTCATCTGTTAATTTGGAATCTTGTCTTTGTTCAGTTTTAGGAGTTCCTCAATGTGGCAATGATAAAAATGATTTTGTGTGTGCTCAAATTAAGAAGAGAAATGTTGTTCCTTCGTTTTTATTGGAGTTATTTGAACGAGATTTAATCAATTTGAATTCTTCTCGAAAGGAGTCCTTCACTGAATTATTATTTGAATTTCAGGATATTTTCTCTGAAGAGATTGTGGCTGGAAATTGTGATGTTTTGGAACATGAAATTAAACTTAACGATCCTCGGCTTATTAAGCAAGTTCCTCGTCGAGTTCCTTTTCATTTGCGGCTTGATACGAACAGGATTATTAATGAAATGAAAGAGAAGGGAGTTATTGAAGAATTTCAAAGTCCTTGGGTATCTCCTGAAGTTTTGGTGAGAAAGAAAGATGGTTCAATTCGCTTTTGTGTTGATTTTAGGAAATTAAATTCAGTTACAATAAAGGACTCATTTCCTAATCCGCGTATTGATGATACGATTGATCAATTGTCGGGGAATTCTTGGTTCTCAACTTTGGATTTGAAAAGTGGTTATTGGCAAGTTAAATTACGTCCTGAAGAAAGGGAAAAGACAGCTTTTTCAATTGGGAAAGGTTTATGGCAATTTACACTTTTGCCTTTTGGATTGTGTAATACTCCGGCTACTTTTCAAAGACTTATGGAGCAAGTTTTGCAAAAGTTTTTGTATAAATTTTGATTAGTTTATTTGGATGATGTAATAATTTATGGTAAGACTTTTGAAAGTATGATTGAACGCTTAAAGGCTGTTTTTCTGCAATTAAGGTCTGCTCATTTAAAATTGAATCCTAAGAAATGCGTTCTTTTTGGAAATTCCGTTAAGTTTTTGGGCTATATTGTTTCAAATGAAGGAATTTCCAAGGATCCAGAAAAAATTTCTGCTGTTTCGGATTGGCCGATACCTCAAACTAAAAAACAGCTTTGTAGTTTTCTTGGATTTTGTTCTTATTACCGGAAATTTATAAAAAGTTTTTTTTAATTGCAAAGCTTTTATTTGTTCTTACTGAAAATCAATTGAAATTTATTTAGTCTTCTATATGTCAAGAAGCTTTTGAAAAATTAAAACAATCTTTGATTGCTTCTTC